AGCTGTCTACGCAAGATACTCAACATCCATTAGCCGGACACGATCAGCACCAGCCTTTTGTGAGAGAGAACAAACCAACTTCCAGCTGAAGAAGAAATTAGGAAAAAACGATGGAAATGGATAGGACATACACTACGGAAATCGTCGAACTGCATCACGAGGCAAGCCCTAACTTGGAATCCTGAAGGAAGGCGGAAAAGAAGAAGGCCAAAGAACACATTACGTCGGGAAATAAAAGCAGATATGGAAAGGATGAATAACAATTGGAAGGAGCTGAAAAGGATTGCTTGGTACAGGGTTGGATAGTGAAGGCTGGTGAGCGGCCTATGTTCCTTCACGTGGAGTAACAGGCGTAAGTAAGTAAGTTAATCGGGTTGGTGGACATGGATAGTCCACGTAGGCGAGTTGGAAAACCCTGATTCAAAACCAGTGGTACACATGGGCTCCAGTATCCTAAAGGGACAAATGGTGTATGAACCAATTGCTGGTTACCGGATACCATGGGAATGCATCTCCTTACCTTTCTCCACTGCCTTATGGATAAGACCTTCATGTCGAAGGCTCTGGGTGTACTCCCCTAAGAAAACCACCTGCTTCGGTCTGGCCACCAGGGCAGTATCCCGGCCCTCACACATATCAAATGAGATTTGTGTGGCGTATATGTATTTGGTGCCTCCTTGTGCCAATATCTATGTGTTAAAATAAATAATAAATAAATGATTTCTAATATGATGTTATGTATTATTAATTGCACTGAAAACTCAGGATTAAAAAGATTATTCAATGATAGAAAATTCCTATATACAATCAGGAAAATAATACCTCTTAAGAAAAAACTATCCAAAGTTGAACAGTTTTGTTAATATAAATATGCTACTGACATTGTGGTGTGCTACTGATATCGACAGATATAAGTAGTATGTATCATTAATCGAAAGTGAAATGCCTGGCAGCCCAAAGTTGAGAAGACCGAAGAAAAAAGAACAAGAACAAAGAATGATTGGTGTGGAAATGAAGTAACATTCAATTCTGAGACCATTGATTTACATTTTGTAAATGAAGTATTTACTGTATAGTTCTCAGATTTGTATGTGTTGGGATCCAAAAGTGTTATTTGTGATTCAGATTTAACCAGTTTGAAATATTGTAAGACTGTCAAATTGTGGAATCCGTTTCATTCTTAATGTAGTTGGATACCATTTATCAGAACATATCACTTGGGTAATGGGAATTTCTCATTAATGAGTATGATATTATTAGTATGGGAGGATGGAAGAGACGATCCAACTTTGTCATTTTATTTCATCAGCAAGGTGAACTTATAATCTAGAGGAATCGATGTACTCCATGAAACTTGAACTAATGCCCGCCGCAAGATTCGAACCCAGGACCTATCAGTCTCGCGTGCGAGCGAGCGCTTGACCATTAGACCACTGAGCCCGCACGGCCGGCATCCAACGGTGTTAATGTCTAACTTCAATCAATCCACAAAGTTGCGCCACTGTCCACCATTGTCTTCACTGAGTTGATGTCTCACAACAGACCTGGCTGAACTCCACTGGTAACGGCTGAGGAGTCCTATACTAGGAAGAAACGGCCGTCCAGTGCATCTAGGTTTTCCATGGTGGTCTATCTTCAATTGACTCATGATTTCAACCAGTGAAATTTCTAAAATCTCCACAAAACCCCTTCTGATATTTACTTATTGTTTAACTAAATACAGATAAGTAGTTTACCATCAATAATTCAATTACTAGACAATGCATGGCCGTGCAATATCACTAAATTCACCAGCCTTACATTATTCAAAATGTGAAAATGGTTCTAATCATCAACTAGTATTCTTCAGTCAATTTATTTAAACCAGGGAATATGGGGCATATTGAATAGTTGTTACAGTCTCCTTAAGGATACTATTCAAGTACTGTTCGTCAGAAAATAGGGCCCTGCCTATTCTACTACTGTTCACAGTAAAACCAAATTACTACTTAGTATTATTGATGATTAACTATTGTCTAAGTTTATATCATTTTTAATGGTTCTTCAGTCAATGTGAATTTATCATACATTTGATGTTGTCTAGAGAGACAATAAATACGTCGTATTTAGACTAGATAAACTTAACACCTCCTGAATACAATCATTCACAATCATCAACTTCATTCATTTTATTCTGAAAGTACAAATGTTATTTATTTTCATTAACTGTAATAGATAGTGACTAGCAGTGGAATCCAGTTTAACGTTCGTTTCGTCCTATTCAAGACTCGTCAGATGGATGTACCTACATCTCAAAGTTATTATTCACTCTGGAACTTTAACCCAGTACCGTTCATTCCAAAAGCCATCACATTATCTACTTAGCTATTGATTTCTAACTGAGATAGATATTTGATCTTTGACTTTTTTTTTTACTAAACATTACATTTCTAGTTATCATAGCAACAATTGTTAACTACTTTGTCTCATGGAATAAATGTGAATGTATACTTCCAGGGAAAACTATATTCCATTAGAAAGATATTGAATTCTTCCATAGAATATTTCTAAATAAACTAATCCGTAATATTATGTTAGTTCAGTTTGAAGTAATCATGCTTTTTAGTATGATAGTATTCACTTCTCAATATAGCATACGACACAATTTAATGCTAACATAGAAGATATGTCTTAGTCTTGAACTGCTGAGGAGGCCTATAATAGAACGAAACGGCCTTCCAGTGCTTCCAGGTTTTCCATGGTTGTCTAGCTTCACTTGACTCATAATCTCAACTATTAAGATTACTATAATCTTCACAAAACCCCTACTGACATTCATTTATTATGATACTATATAATGAAACGTTTCTAAAAATTCGCTTTACATCCGGTAACTAATTTTCTCTCTTTTTTGTTGTTTATTTAGAAAACATTCATTAGATTATTTCTATCAGTCTTTAATGATCAATATTTCCAGAAAACTTTAACTTGTTGTAATGTCATAGGTTGAGATCATGAGTCAGTTGAAGCTAGACCACCACTGAATACCTGGAAGCACTGGACGACCGTTTCGTCCTAGTATGGGACTCCTCAGCAGTGCGCATTTACGAACCCGCCCCCCGCGGGATTCGAACCCGGGACCTACTGGCCTAGGTTCAACTGACTCATGATCTCGACCTGTAAAATTTCCTAAAATCTCCACAAAACTCATTCTGATTATTGTAATGTTTAGGAAGATTTTTGAACGTAGTATTTTACATCATTGACTGATTATAGCTAAATAATCAATGGCCCCTAAATACCCTGGTACGGCCTAAGGTGGGGGTGAATCAGCTCTCCTTCTCCGAATGCTCTCATATGACCACGAGTATACAGCCACTGCCAAGGAATTCTTACTCATTGCCTTCTCGCGGCACCGGTGTTGTTTATAAAATTGAGAGGACCAAAAGCGAATGTCCAGCGTTCTAATTCGGTAGGTAGATACAGAAGATCCACCTAGGGCAGTTGGAAAACCCTGATTCCAAACTAATGGTGCACATGGGTACATGGTGTATGAACCAATTATTGGTTATCCGCTACCATGAAACTGCATCTCCTAACGTTGCTCTACTGTCTAATGTATTAGACCTTTAAATTGAAGGTCTAATCCTAGTGTGGCCTCCTAAAACAACCACCTGCTTTGGTTTGGTCACCTGAGCAGTAACATAGTCCACACACACACATATGTATCCCATGCCCCTTTATAAGAATATTTATGTGTTCAAATAAATAAATAAATAAATAAAGATAATCACTATAAACCAGAATGTACTAGACATGTGCTGTTTTTTTATTTCAAAGATCCCTTCGTAAAAAGTGCTTAACCATCAAATCACTGAATGAGTATTCAATAATTTATATTTCCAACGGTTATGAAATCATCTATGGTTTTCACTGATTAAAGTCTCAATTTGAATTATTCTTTTTTTCTGATTAGGATTTTCTACGAGATACGGTCAGTAAACCCCCATGTCAAATCCTACTCCTTTAACCGGTCTTGAAACCGGCTGTAACCACCGGGGAGGGGTAAGGAGTTCCAGGCGGTGTTAAATTCTTAGAATTTCAATTACTTACTTCTTGACATCATTTCTTCTTTAAATTATTATTAATCTATTCATTTACCTTTATGCTCTTTAAACATAAAAACATACAATCAGTATTATATTGTAGATAGGGCATCATGAATAAGTATGTCTTACTATATGTCTGTCTATTCGACGATTTATTCACTTTCATAGAATGATCATCATCATCATCATCATCATTTTCTCACTTAGAATCAATCAATAACCATCTCTATGCGAAAACTGATCAACAAACATGTAAACTCACACACATACATACATACATACATACATACATACAGACGTACACATATCTATGTAAGTATGTAAGTATGTATGTGTATCCCTTAGTAACAAAATCATTTTTGAAGATGATCAAATAGGTGTATATTCACTATATTTTCTTAAGGAGGTCTTTCAGCATTAAACTACCTACCTATACTTACCTACTTACCTACCTACTTAGTTACATGTCATCTATAGTGAACGAAGAGATTGACTATAGTTTTAATCCATTATTCTAGTTCAAATGTATTAAAATAAATGATTCATGTGAAGAATAATCATTCGAATTGTTGTCATGTATAGAACAAATTAAAGATTTAAACAGAATTCATTTGAAACAATTCAATATTCATGATAAACAACAACAACAACAACAACATAATCCTTTAAATGAATTAGGATATATTAAACGAAGACAGTTTATGTTGATGTAGAAAATCTTTGTCATTATCACCTTCTTCATCATCAACATCTTTATCAAGATCAGGTTCATGTGATGTGCCGTTTACAACTTCATCAGTAACTTATTCAATATCTGGGCTATCAACGAATGATCATCCGCCTTCACCTTATCCTCCTCCTCCTCCTCCTCCACCTCCTCATCTTCCATCTTATCCTCCTCATCAAGTAATTATGATTAATTGTGAAAATTCATTAACAACTAAAAATAATTCACAATATCGTAAAGATTTTTTAAGAAAATTTCGATTCGACAATTCATCATGGTTATTTTCATGTACTAATCATAAACATAAAGAATGTTCTAAGAAGAAAATCACACTACAATTCACGGAACAATTACAAATAGAGGTAGGTATTCATCCTGTGTGTGTGTGCGTGTGTTTTTCCCGTTTCTTTTCTATTCAGGTTATTCATCGTACTACTTTAAGTATTCCATCGACTAAGATGATTAGGTCACGGGTTATGTATGCCTGAACACTGATTATCATGATGTGTAATGTAAGACTAGTGTTGGGGATAATTGGAAGAAAGTTAGGGGCGGCTAAACCAAAACATGGCATTAGTCCTTGAAGTTAATAACTTCTAGTTCGTTGAGGTCCGCGCAACTATGATAACCGATGGTTGGAGACTCTGTGTGACATGGCTCAGAATCGATCACAATGGCGTCGGTGTATACACTCTCTGTCTTCCCTTAAACTGTGAGATTAAAATCGCTTTATATCTTTCTTTCTACTAATTCTTTCTTCCTGTACTATATCTTTATATACAATCTTTTACATATTTTGATAGTTACTATTATTATTCTCAATGAATAAAATGATAATCTATGGTCATATTTTGATGGAGTTCTGTCCTCTGAGCTGGGTCGTTGTTTTGTGGAACTTTCATCGTTCTCCTGAACGACATGGTCAACAGAAACTTCACGTTAAAGTTAAACCAATAGAGGATATAACCAAAACAAAGAAGTAAACAATGACAGGTTTAAGGTTAACAAGAACTAATCAACATCGAGGTCTATAGGACAAGTTATGAGTCATATGTGAAGAAATTTGAACACTTCACTTCTACCTGAAATTTGTTTTAATGGTGTCGTACATACTCTGGCAATCAATGGTTAATCAAATTAATACTTCAAATTGTCTACTGAATAATATACATCATCTATTAAATACAACTCCGCATGGAGTCCCTCCGGAGGTTACTGACGGACCCAAGCCTGGATAAAGGAGGAGGGTTGGGCATGGGGTTAGCGACCCCATCCCGCAGAAAACTAACTCGCTAAAAAAACGCTAACCAGAAAAACACAATTATTTATTCTATTAGATACCATGTCAAATGCTTGAACTGAATTGTATTGAAACAATATCCAACACTTAATTCATTAAACCTACCAATACATGAATGCAATGCAATGCCTTTTTCTAATGAGTTCACATATTTCAACAAATTGTTTCGATGGCAACTAATAATCAGTTAATATAAAACCACCGTAAAGAGTTGAATTACTTCCTATTGAATATTAAGTTTATTCACTTAAAAAGTAATGTAATACTTAGAAAATCAATAAATTCTAACTAGAGTCGATTGAAGCTAAATCACCATGGAAAAACCTGAAAACATTGAACCGTCGTTTCGTCTTATTGTGGGACTCCTCAACAATGTGCATCCATGACCCTGCCTCTCGGGATTCGAACCCAAGACCGATCAGTCTTGCTCACGCTTAACCACTAGACCACTTCCTCCTCTTTGAGTGTTATAAATGATTATAAACATAAATTGATTTTTATGGATACATATAACTGGGAACTTATTAAGGTTTAGAATTTGTTTTAAATTAATCATTCAGAATAATCGATATTGTACTACTAGTTTACCAAATCGCATTATTTTAGACTTATTCTGGTAATGATGTACTTAATATAATTAATATTTAGTAATCCCTAAATCGTTTGATTTGTGTAAGGGATGGGATGCTGCACAGATCACCAAACCAAAACAGGTGGTTTTCTTAGGGGGCCACACCCGGAACCTTCTACCTAAAGGTCTGATTCACAAGGCAGTAAGACATCGTAAGGATATGCAGTTTCATGGTAGTCGGTCACCAATAATTGGTTCATACGCCATTTGTTTTCTTAGGATTTTGGAGTTTATATACACCATTGGTTTGGAATCAGGGTTTTCCAACTCCCCTAGGTGGATCTTTTGTATCCACCTACCAGGTTAAAACACTGGACGTTCACTTTTCGTCCTGTCAATTTTATAAACAACACCGGTGCCACGCAATTCAATCACAATTGACGGAGAAGATTTGGAAGATGTAAAAACCTTTACATATTTGGGCAGCATCATTGATGAACAGTGTGGATCTGATGCAGATGTAGAGGCGTGGATCGGCAAAGCAAGAGCAGCATATTTACAACTGAGGAACATCTGGAACTCAAAGCAACTGCCAACCAACACCAAGGTCCGGATTTTCAATACAAATGTCAAGACAGTTCTACTGTATGGGGCAGAAACCTGGAGATCTACGAAAGCCATCATCCAGAAAATACAGGTGTTTATTAACAGTTGTCTATGCAAAATACTTCACATCCATTGGCCGGACACTATTAGCAACAACGTACTGTGGGAGAGAACAAACCATATCCCAGTGGACGAAGAAATCAGGAAGAAGCACTGCAAGTGGATAGGACACACATTGCGGAAAGCACCCAACTGCGTCACAAGACAAGCCCTTACATGGAATCCTCAAGGCCAAAGGAAAAGAGGAAGTACGAAGAAGACATTACGCCGGGAAATGGAGATAGACATGAGAAAAATGAACAAGAATTGGATGGAACTAGAAAAGAAGGCCCAGGATAGAGTGGGTTGGAGAATGCTGTTCGACGGCCTATGCTCCATTGGGAGTAACAGGCGAGAAGGTAATGAGTAGGACTTCCCTGTCAGTGGTTGACACTTTTACTGAATCCGATATAACTATTATTTGTGATTATGAATTGAAACATAAGATGATTATGCAATTACATTATGAACCAATTCATTTCTTTATATACTATGAATAACCTTCATATTTATTACTTCCTTTATCTCTTCAACTGAGAATTTTTCATTTGAATGGAACCTTTATTTCTTTCAAGAAATTATTCTCAAAAAGTTTATAAAAAGTTTAATGTTTTAAGTATAAATTATAATTTTAAGCAAAAATAGTGATTAGCAATGGAATCCAGGACGTGTGTTCCCGTCCTATTTGGGACTCGTCAGCTGGATGTACCTGCATCTAAGAGTTGATATTCATTCTGAGACTCTAATCTAGTACCGTTTGATTTCAAACTTCATCATGTTATCCAATTAGTTACTGAGTCCTGATAGACACTTGCTTATGGGATTGGGTGAATTAAAGCAATATTCAGGTAATACACACAGTATACACAAATGTCAATAACAGATTGATCAATTGTAGTGTTAAGTATCCATGGGAAGATTCATGTAAAACAATGTGAAGTGAATATAATTTATAATTTCTTCATTTTATTCTGATGGAACATGTTTACAAAGTAGGAGTAACAAAGTATTGTATATGAAAAGAGTATATGTTTTATTCAATTCATTTATTAGTATGGGATTGTAGAGATTGTCAAGTTTTTGATTGAGATCGTGAATTGATTTATGTTAGACCATTATTGAAAACTTGGAAACACTAGGCAGCCTCTTCGTCCTAGTATGAGACTCCTTAGCAGTGGTTATTCACAATCCCGCACGCGAGATTCGAACTCAGGATCTTCGATCTCGAACCATTAACTTCTAAACCACTGAGTCAGCATCCGACAATGTTAATGTCTAGCTTTCATTGGTCTATGAATAGCTGCACAACCATTCATTTATTGTCTAAGGTAAATACCTATCTTTAACCGACACGGATTTAACTCTACCAAACACATCTGAAGAGTCCCAAGCTAGGACGAAATGGCCGTCCGGGGCTTTCAGATTTTGAATGGTGGTTTAACATCAATCCATGCATGATCTCAATCAACGAATTTACTTTAAAATTTCCATATATACAATAATTGTTCTTCTGCATAGATAATTGTATGTGAGATACTATTTTAGAGACCAAGAGTTTTTCTGATTAACATAAAGGTGGATGGATTAAGGTTTATACTGTATTAGTGTTTCAGATTAGGGAGAAATGGTTTTCTAATACTCTCTGATGGCGTTACTCAAATGAGATTAATCTTTAATAAAGATTATTCATGAATTATTGATTTAAGGTTGATTGTCATCATGGTTCTAATTAAGACAAGATAAAACTAAACGATTGTTTTGTCATCATAACAATACTCATCAACAATTTCGTCATGAATAGAATGTGAATGACTTTCAGGTTTCATAATACTTTAGAAACTATAAATACACAATAAGTGTTAGATATCATAGATCAGTTCAGTTTTCGTTTATATTTCAAGCTTTTGTTTTCAACTGATGATATTCCATGATGATCGTCTGATAAGTTCGATAAATAGTTAACTCATTTACAATGTGATTAAACTATAGTAGTCAAGATACCCTCCCAGAAAATCAGTTATATATTTTAAAGTCAATCATTAATATGTACGTGATCACTACAGACGTAAAGTAAGGTTTGTAGAGGCATATGTAACACATGTCCCAGCCATCTCAACTAATGAAGTTTCACTAATTCATCAATTGATTTGCCATCCTTACCCAATACCCGTTTCTGAACAACTGCGTTACTTACTCGATGGTCCCATGATATACGAGCAATGTTTCGAAGACATCTATGATCAAATACTAGTAACCTACGAATATCCTCTACTCTTACCGGCCATGTTTCACTGCCTTAAAGTAGGACGGAACGAACTGTTGCGCAGTAAACACATCCTTTGGTTGGTAGACGGATATCTCGCCTACGCCATAAATGACGCAAGTTGGCAAAAGCAAACTAGTCGAGCCTTCTGTATCCGTACTGAGATTTCGTCACACACTAGTCCACAAGGGCTGATGAGACTTCCAAGATAAGTGAATCGGTCTACACGCTCAACTACTTCACTCCCTATCATTAGTTCGGGTGTCAATGCAACCCAATCCTGAAGTAACATTTTGCATTTCGAGGGGGAGAATCGCATGCCGAACATGTTTGCATTGTTGCTTAGAGTGGTCATAAGACTCTGCATTTTGTCAGCGTCTTCACCAAATAGAACTATGTCATCGGCATATTCTAAGTCAACAAGTGGATACTGATATCAACTGGATAAGCAATATATGCCAAATGGTACTGGATACTTGTTTCATCGCGCTTTTAAGCACTTCAGTAGTGTGCCTTATAGTGTTAATCTGATGAATTTATATCTATAGGATTCTGAATTCTAAATTATCAAGTATGAGAACGGTAATTTATCACTTTGACTTCTTGTGGACTCATGGCATTGTACTTCTGAAAAGTTCCATTCAAGAACAAATACAACTATTCGTTGATTTTCAAGCTGATGTTAGTCCACAACAAATACTATTGTTAATCCCAAATAACTTCTATAAACCTACTTTACAAATAGATTTATTGATTTCCTATGAAGTATGGTGATATGGTTATTCATTTTTCAAATCACTGTCTGTTAATTAACAAATAAGAATGAGTGAATTAATATGTTTCTATGGAATAATTAGTTTGGAGTTAGACATTAACACCGTTGGATGCCGGCCGGCCAGCTCAGTGGTCTAGAGGTTAAGCGTTCGTGCACAAGACTGATAGGTCCTGGGTTCGAGTCTCGTGAGGTGGGATCGTGGATGTGCACTGCTGAGGTGTCCCGTACTAGAACGAAACGGACATCCAATGTATCCAGGTTTTCGATGTTGGTCTAGCTTCAATTGGCTCATGATTTCAACTATTGAAATGACTAAAATCTCCACAAAACCCCTTCTGATAACTTATTTATTGTTTAAACTTTGTTTATTTCTCTCCCTAGGCAACAGACTGTTATTTTACAAGATTCTAATCTTTTGTATTTTAATGTATGGTTATCAAGGTATAACTGACTTCATCATTTGTTGATTTGGCACCATTCAAACTAATAAATAATTAGATAAGTTCATTTCAACCGTTATTAAAATGTTGACCTGAATTATTTTGCCACCTAACAGCAGTCTCAATTCAACTATGTCCTGGACAAACCTATCCAGTTGTTTCCAGTTGCTATTTATTCTTTTGATATCTGCCTTTAATTCCTTGTACACTGTAGGTTTTGGTCTTCCTCTTTTCTGTTTCCCTTCAGGATTCCAAGTAAGTGCTTGCCTCGTGATGCAGTTTGATGATTTCCTCAATGTATGTCCTATCCAGTTCCATCATATTTTTCTAATTTCCTCTTCAACTCGATGCTGGTTTTTTCTCTCCCACAGTAGGTTGTTACTGATGGTATCCGGCCAACGAATATTGAGTATCTTGCTTAGACAATTGTTAGTAAATACTTCGTTAGCACAATACCTTTATTTCATTAATTTTGAATCCAACGATTTGACAGTTCATACTTGTATTCATTTTAAAGTTCAACATTCAAAACTCCCGAATTTTCTAGCTAGATCAGTCCACAACAAAAACTGTCTTCAAAAACAACTTAATGTCAAAAAACCGTCAATCTATGCAAAATAATATTATTGAAATTATGAACCGATCCAAGTCAGATCACCATTGAAAACCTGGAAGTAGTGGACGACCGTCCCATTGTAGTGTAAGACTCTTGACCAGTGGACACTCACGACACCGGATATGAGAATCCTACCCAGGATCTTTAGTCTGAAATAAAGTTGAACAAGCTCCACAATCTTACAGTGTCCATTGTCATGTACTCACTAGCGACTAGCTCCTAAAAGAAATTTTCGGATTTCCAGTAAAGTTTAGCTGTGTGTTGTATGAGGCAGTTACTCACCGAAGACAATAGAAGTCGATAGCGTAATACCGTAGATTGATTCGAATCAGACTTGTGCACCATTGAAATCTAATTCAGTGGTCTAGAGGTTAAGCGTCCTTGTGCGAATCCGAGTTTTATAACTTCGATTATTTGTTGATGAGGCCGTCGATCTGCATTACTGATGAGTTCAATATTAAGACTTAATTTCCATCTTATGCTTTCACGTTTTTAATGATTGTCTAACTATGATCAGTTCATGATTTCAATGAAATTCGATAATCTCCATAATGATCTCTTAGTGTAGTAAACATTTTTACAATGAATACGAAAAACTATCATCTAAAAGATACAAGTGTTTATTAACAGTTGTCGACGCAAAATATCTCACATCCATTTACCCAGACAACTCCGCCTGGGGTCCCTCCGGGGGCTACCGCCGGTCCCAAGCCCGGATAAAGGAGGAGGGTTGAGCATGGGATTAGCGACCCCATCCCGTAGAAAACTAACTCGCTAAAAAAACGCTAACCAGAAAACTTATTCAAACCATTTAAACTCTGCCCTGAAAGTTAGAAGGTCTTCATTTAGAAGAACTATGACGCCTCATGATGAAAGCCGAATTCCTTCAGAAGTTACGAGACCGATGCCCCTTCTGACAACCAGAGCAACCATTTATTTAGGTACATGGAATGTTCGTACAATGTGGGACACCGTGAGAGCCTTTCAAATCGCTGCAGAAATGAGGAGTTACATTTACCCAGACACTATCAACAACAACCTACTACTGTGGGAGAGAACAAACCAAATTCCAGTGGAGGAAGAAATCGAGTAGAATCACTGGAAGTGAATAGGACACTATAATATTTGAAAGTACTCAAATTATCGTATGAACTAGGAATCCCAGAATTAAAACAATTGAATCAAGAATTACGACACAAGCACGAACGAATGTACTGTATTTACAATTCGAAATCGAGCATGCAACATGTACAAAAGAATCATTAGTTAATTCAAACACCACAGACACACATTGAGGAAAGCACCCAACTGGATCATCATAAGACAAGCCCTCACATAGAATCCTCAAGGCCAAAGAAGGAGAAGAGGAAGATAAAAGAAATGGAGACAGACATAAGAAGAATGAACATGAATTGGATAGATATAGAAAGGAAGACCGAGGACAGAGAGTGTATTTGAGAATGCTGGTCAACGACCTATACACTATTGAGGGTAACAGGCGTGAGTGAGTAAGTAAGTCTAGTTAACATGTACTTCAGGTAGATATATACATTTCTATATTCACTTTATTTTGTTTTGTTTCTTCTTTTCTTATTACAGTCTACATTGAACTTATTAGATAACATTGATCCCGATCAACTATACTGTATCCTAACTGAAGTGATTCATCAATTATTCAATACAAGTGTAAGAACTATTGATTGTGACATAACTTTATGAAATACAATTTCATTGAATTGTAACCCAAAAATAAAGGAACGTTCAATGGAATATTTCAATTTCTTCAGTATCATTATTATTATTGTTATATCAGACTAAATAAACTTAAGAGATCAATAGACTAAGATTATTCAATCATTCAATGTTTTTTTTTGGTTTTTGTTGTAGCTGACTGACTGACTGACTAATCAAAATAGTTTCTCAATGTAATCACTCATTACTATTGTGGTGTGTATTACTGATATCGACAAATATAAGTAGTATGTATCATTAATATGCGAAGGCGCGGATCGGCAAAACAAGAGCAGCATATTTACAACTGAGGAACATCTGGAACTCAAAGCAACTGTCTGTTAACCAACACCAAATTTAGAATTTTTAATACAAATGTCAAGACAGTTCTACTGTATGGGGCAGAAACCTGGAGAACTACGAAAGCCATCATCCAGAAAATACAGGTGTTTATTAACAGTTGTCTACGCAAAATACTTCACATCCATTGGCCGGACACTATTAGCAACAACGTACTGTGGGAGAGAACAAACCATATCCCAGTGGACGAAGAAATCAGGAAGAAGCACTGCAAGTGGATAGGACACACATTGAGGAAGGCAACCAACTGCGTCACAAGGCAGGGCCTCACATGGAATCCTCAAGGCCAAAGGAAAAGAGGAAGTACGAAGAAGACATTACGCCGGGAAATGGAGATAGACATGAGAAAAATGAACAAGAATTGGATGGAACTAGAAAAGAAGGCCCAGGACAGAGTGGGTTGGAGAATGCTGTTCGGCGGCCTATGCTCCATTGGGAGTAACAGGTGTAAATAAGTAAGTAAGTATGTATGTATCATTAATAATTGAAAATGAAATACCTGGTGATAAATGATGATGATGAAGATCAAGGAGAAAAGAAAGAGAACAAAGAAGGATTGATGTGGAAATGTAAGATCAATAAAGTCTAAGACGATTGATTAAGATTTTAAAGATGAACTATTTACTGTATGGATCTTAGATGTTCTGTAAACTATTCGATTATCCCGATTTATGTTCTTGTTCACTATGTTATATTCGAAATGGATAATCTCAAGATGTATAATGGAAATTTATGACCACGATCCATTTACCCATTCAAGTTTCTAAATTGTAATTGAAGGTCTTCAATTCAAGTTAAATTCAATGTTGTATATGATAAAGCTAAACGGATTGGTGGAGAATTGAGCGAGTTTCAATATAACTACAATGATGAGTTAAATATTTCTAGGGTCTTCTCATTAAAGGAACTTTGATAAAGCACAACTTCGAATAAGTCAATCTTCTGAACGTTTAAACAAGCTAAGAAACTTGTTATACCTCTAATTTCATATGACTATTTCATTTGGTAGTATGAATTTTCTCTCACATAGATAATAATGTTTCTGTCATAAGTTCCGATTATAAATCTACACAGTATTAAAAATACTCCACTGCTATTACTTACTTATTATGCCTGTTATCTCCCTCCCCCCATTGCAGCATATGCCGTCGACCAGTATTCTAAAACACTCTGTCGTCTGACTTCCTATCCAGTTCTATTCAATTCTTCATCATTCTTCTAATGTTTGTCTCCATTTATTGACGTAATGTGTTCTTCGTACTTCCTCTTCTCCTGCTTTGGCCTTGAGGATTCTATGTGAGGGCTTGTCTTATGATGATACAGTTGGGTGCTTTTCTCATTGTGTATTCTGTCCACTTCCAGCACTTCTTCCTGATTTCTTCCTCCACTGGGATCTGGTTTGTTCTCTCCCATAAGAGGTTGTTGCTGATAGTGTGTGGCCAAGAGATCCGAAGTATTTTGTGTAGACAACTGTTAATAAACACTTGTATCTTCTGCATGATGAATTTTGTAGTTCTCCATTTTCCCGCCCCATACAGTCGAACTGTATTGTCATTTGTATTAAAAATTCTGACTTTGGTGTTGGTTAACAGACAGTTGCATTGAGTCCCACATGTTCTTCAATTGTAGATATGCTGCTGCACGCCTTCACATATGGCTCAACTGCTATTACTACACTTAAATTTTCCAGTACAGCTATATTGGTTTCTATGATTCCTTGAGTAACATGTAACAGTTAACTTACAATCAGTCAACAATGAATAGCTTCTTTTCGTTATTGTCTTTAAACTCTTTTAGAATGACTACTTGTCTTTTACTAACTAATCCATAATCCTATAAAATTGTCATCATTATATTATCTTTGAATTTGATTAGTATCTAATTGATAATCAGTATTCTTCTCTCAGTTATATGTTGTAACCTTGACTTACTTACTTACTAACGCCTGTTACTCCTCGTGGAGGAGCATAGGCCGACCATTAGCACTCGCCATCCAAACCTGTCTTGTAACCTTAAAGTCATCTTTTATTTCACAGGTTGAAATCATGAGTCAGTTGAAGCTAGACCACCATGGAAAACCTGGAAGCACTGGACGGCCGTTTCATCCTAGTATGGGACTCCTCAGCAGTGGGCTTCAACTGACTCATGATTTCAACCCGTGAAATTTACTAAAATCTCCACAAAACTCATTCATCTTTTATTAACATATCTGGTTTGACCCATACTTTAATCTTATCTATATCAGTTTATGATGAATCTCCTTTTTAGATTTTGTTCAATATCAATAAAGTAATCATATTTGGTAAAGATTAGATGAAGATAGAAATAAACCGATTATGATAAGTACCAGTGATTTATAATTGAAATAACCAAGATTATATGTATTATCTGGTTTGGCATAAATCTTATCCATGAGACCAATCTGTAGATTAGTTTATCTGGAACATTTTACTATTATTTGTAAAATATCACATCATTTTACTATTATTATGTCATTGGTTAATTGTAAGATTAAAACAACTTTTCACAATTGAAAACATGAGTCGATTTAAGACATGATACTATTGAAAACTTGAAAGCTCTGAATGGCAGTTTCATTCTAGTATGGGACTCCTCAACAATGCACATTCACAATCCCTGACGTGGAACTCGAACCTAGGACTTTTGAATTTGTGCGAGAATCTTTAACTTCTAGACCACTGAACTAGCACTCAGCGATATTATTGTCTAACTTCAATCAATCCACAACTTTGTGCAACCCTTCATCTATTGACTGTAGTGAACGACTGTCTCACACTGAAAATGAATTGCATTCGCTGGCCATCCAGTGCTTTCAAGTTTTTAATGGCGGTTTTGCTTAGATCGACTTGTCATTTCAACTATGAAAATGCTACAGTCTCTACAAGTCCTCCATACTTTATAAAGTAAATTGTTTTTAAAGAAACGGAATAATGTCTTTTCTATGGCTTCACAACCACAGAAACATTTGATGATTGTTCAATTTCTATTTTCACTGCAGTTTAGGTAAACGTATAGTATACCGATGATCTTGAGCCACCTATCAGCCATTTGGGAAACCTTGTCTAGTTACAAAAGTATGAACACCGACAAAGCAATATAATAACAATAGAATAATAGCTTTGATCTGAATAATCAACTCTTACATGCTGAATTATACTTTGTAGTAAAAGTAAAAGGTTAATTTAGCAGATTAGGATTTAGGTTAGTGTTGTGAGTTAGGATGATCAACCCATAGTTTTCCTCAACAACTAATGCTAACGATAATGCAAGAGGGTTGAGGTTAGATATTAACAGTTAAGCTGAAATTATAAGATTGATTTACAATATGAGTGTCAAAGGTTTCATCACGAACTGATACCCCCTACAATGCCATTCTTTGTCACCCTTCTTTTTACAAACTTATGAAACTCTTGGTTGGGATTAAAATCAAGGATTAGAATGGGAAAATACTATCTATTTTAATAGACATTCTGCCTAAGGAAAAGGTACGTTTTTTATTTAGCTCAAGCAACATCTTAAATTCAATTTCTCATTGCATATTGTTAGTATATTATACTTTTTACTGTAGTTTAATATTTAATTCATTTTTGATTGAGATCATGAACCGATTGATGTGAGACCACCATTGAAAACCTGGAAGCATTGGACGGCTGTTTCGTCTTATTATCTCCAGTGGAGCTAATCCGTATCTAGTAGAGACAGGTATCTACTTCAGTACAATGGAAGATGATCGAGCAATGTCGTGGATTGGTTGAGGTTAAAAATTAACATTGTTGAATGTCGGTTCAGTGGTCTAGATGTTAAGCGTTTGCGCGCGAGATCAAAGGCTCTGGGTTAGAATTCTGCAAGCTGGATCGTGGATGTGCACTGCTGAGGTGTCCTACAATAGGACGAGTTGGCCGTCCAGTGCTTCCAGGTTTTCAGCGTTGATCTTTCAATCAAATAGCGATTAATCTCCACAAGCCCATATTGTTCATTCATTTTGTTTGTCTCTGATCATTTTTCAGCGTTTTGTATCGATTCAACAATTGGATTCATTAAAGTTGGAATTAATAAATAATCTTGGAACTTTCACAATTGATCATCAGCATCGAAATGAATGGAAAACACATTCTTCAGGAAAATCTAGTACAAAATCTATTCATAATAAAACACATAATTGTATTGTCTTCAACTTGAGTAATGAGGCAATATCATATGGTAATAAGTAAGTATATATTTATTTGTTTATTTAATTTGAAGATGGTGATTAATGGATAAAACTCCGCTTGGAGCCCCCTGGGGCTACTGTCGTTCCTAAGCCCGGATAAAGAAAGAGGGTTGAGAAAGGGGTTAGCGATTACATGCCGTAGAAAACTAAGTAGCTATAAAACGCTAACCAAAAAAAATAATTCGAAATATTTCAACTCTGCCCTAGGAGTTAGAAAATCTTCATTTAGAAGAGCTGTGACGTCTCACGATGAATGCCGAGGTCCTTCGAGAGTCACGAGGCTGATGCCTCTTCTGACAACTAGAGCAACCATTACTTTAGGTAAATTGATCAGTGGACTATAAATTTTGATCCAGTATTGATTGGAAAGTGTTGAAGAGATAAATATCTTCTAGCCATTGGAAGAAGTATATAAAAATGATAATAAATAGTGCTTAGAATCTATTAATTAGAAGCAAAATTTCATCAATCGAAGTTAAACACTTATTGAGCACAACGAATTAAAACACTCAATAGTGTATCTTTAACATCTTAAAATTAATGTTTTACACAAGTAGATCTGTATAAATTTCAATGACTTATCCGGGAAGCATCATCGATAAACAAGGAGGATCTGATGCAGACGTGAAGATGATTATTGAAAAGATGAGGGCCATATTTCTACACTTGTCAACCAACACCAAAGTCAGAATTTTCAATACAAACGTCAAGATAGTTCTATTGTATGGAGCTGAAACCTGCATATCAACTACTACAAACATCATCAAGAAGGTGCAAGTATTTATAAATAGTTGTCTACGCAACATACTCAGCATCTACTGGTAGGAAACCATCAGCAACAAAACTTTGTGGGAGACAACAAATCAGCTTCCAGCTGAGGAGGAAATTAGGAGAAGACGATGGACAGGACATACACTGAGGAAATTATCAAACTACATTACAAGACAAGCACTAACTTAGAATCCTGAAGGGAAACACAAAAGAGCAAGGCTGATGAACACACTGAGTCAGGAATTGGAAGCAGATATGAAAAGAATGAATAACAACTGGGAAGTCAGTCAGTCAGTAACAACGTAGAACTTCGTACGTACGTACATCAGTTCGAGTTGCCACACCACACTAGCAAGAGATTCAATTGTCGATTCAAATCCCGTAGTGGTAGAGGCGGTAAGAGTATAAGCAGTAGTCAGGAAGATTAGGGTTTGAAGATGTTATTCAAAGAGTATAATCCAGTGAAATAAATTTGGAAGGAGGAAAGGAAAAAGGACATGAAGAGTTCAGAAAATTAGAATTTGGGAGAACACAAAGAGTGGATGCACCTGCTCCATTGCAAACGATTTTGAGCCATGTCATTCAGGGTCTCTAAACATCGGTTGCTATCATCTCACGGTCCCCAACCAGGTGGTCTACAACTACCAATATGGCTCAGTCCACTTGTCAGTGACTTCATGGACTTGTGCCATGTTTTGGTCTGGCCTCCACTAGCTTTCTTCCAACCTGCTCCTACACCATAAAACATCGCACGTCGAGGCAGTCGGTGGTTGGGCATATGTAACACATGTCCCAGTCATCTCAACTGATGAAGTTTCACTACGTCATCAATTGATTTGCCATCCTTATCTAATACCCGTTTCCTAACAACTACATAACTTAATCAATGGTCCCAGGATATATGGGCAATATTTCGAAGACACCTATGATCAAATACTAGTAACCTACGAATATCCTCTAATCTTACCGGCCATGATTCACTGCCATGAAGTAGGACGGAACGAACTGTTGCGCAGTAAACGCGTCCTTTGGTTGGTAGACGGATATCTCGCCTACGCCATAAATGACGCAAGTTGGCAAAAGCAAACTAGTCGAGCCTTCTGTATCCGTACTGAGATTTCGTCACACACTAGTCCACAAGGGCTGATGAGACTTCCAAGATAAGTGAATCGGTCGACACGCTCAACTACTTCACTCCCTATCGTTAGTTCGAGTGTCGATGCAACCCAATCCTGAAGTAACATTTTTCATTTCGAGGGGTAGAATCGCATCCCGAACATGCTTGCATTGTTGCTTAGAGTGGTCATAAGACTCTGCATTTTGTCAGCGTCTTCACCAAATAGAACTATGTCATCGGCATATTACAAGTCAACTGGAACAAACTACTTGAGACAGGGTTGAATAGAGAGTGCTAGTGAGCGGTCTATACTCCTCAATGAAGAGTAACCGACGTAAGTAATTAATATGCATGAATTATCCATGTGTTGTAGAATGAATGTCATAAGAGAACATTCATGAATTTGTAATGTATTACTTTCTTTAAAATGTGAATAAAGAATTGACTAATCGTTATTGTTATTTATTTGGTTATAGTGTGAAAAGTTTTGTAGTCAAGGTAAATCATATCAAAAATGCACAATTACGTAATTTATTATTACTCAATAAAGATACAATTAAAAAAGAAAACTATGGTAAGTAAAAAAATGTATTATTGAATAGTTAATGTTTTTTGGTTATTTCTAAATGTAATACTTCAATAGGACTGATTATTGTATATCCCGTTCGTTGTCGTTACTTTGACGTGATGGTCCGGCTTGCCTATCGTGATGACCCAACCGAGCTATACCGGCTGGAACAACCGTTCCTCAAGGTCCTACCATGTCAGACAGGTCGGTTGAAGAGCGGTAAGACTAAAAGCAACAAACTCAAGGTCCGAAGGCGAAGTTGTACTGCTGAGTGTACAGAGGTGTGACAGCAGTAAGGTGTTTCCTTCAGACAAGCAGCATAACAGCGATGCTGCCTTCTCACAAAGAGGGGTGGTGTTAGAAAGGGTTGACCCTGAAAATGCATACCTCGCCTTATCCCACAGATATCCGTCTCCAGCGGTAAGGTCTAGACAAGTACGGAGCTAATACAAGAATTACCCATAAAATGGTCGTGTGTGACCAACCTCAAGCAGTTGTCCCTTGGTCACTGCGGTCACACTCTCAGGTCACTAAGACCACCTCTAATCCAATTTACTTTTCAGGCACCTCCTCCTCTTCCTCCCCTGACTATTATTGTACATATGATTACGTAATGTATTACAAGAGATTACATCCTTTATAAGTAGTATGTTTGTTATATATCAAGAATGATACTTTGATCACTAATGAAATCGAAGGATAATCAATCTATATATCGCAAATTGATTAAATTTGAAAATGTAAAATCAATAATTTCAAGTTCAATCACTCATTACTAAACTTAAAAGTCAATGATTTAATCACTGGAAGGTTCATGAGTGAATATTTTATTTATTTATTTATTTAAACACACAACCATTGGTACAAGGAGGCACCAACTACATATGCGCCACATAAATCATTCGATTTGTGTGAGGGCTATGATACTGCCCGGATGCCCAGACCGAAGTAGGTGGTTTTCTTAGGGAACCACACCCCGAGCTTTTGACCTTAAGGTCTGACCCACAAGGCAATGGAGCATCGTGAGGAGATGCATTCCCATGGTAGCCGGTGACCAACGATTGGTTCATACACCATTTGTTCCCTCAGGATACTGGAGCCCATGTGGACCATTGGTTTGGAATCCGGTTAAAGCGCCGGACATTCGCTTTTCGTCCTTTCATTTTCGTAAACAACATCCCCGCCACGAGAAGGTAGTGAGTAGGACTTTTCTGGCAGAGGCTGTATACGCGTGGCTATGTGAGAGCATTTCGAGAGGGAGGGCGGGTCCACCCTACTCTAGGCCATACCAGGGCATTTAGAGGCTGAGTGAATATTACTAAGAATAAACCATCTATTCAATACCATTTGGTTAACAGTGATTCTGTTAACAAAATAGTAATAATAACAAAACTTATTTTTATTACAAGTTCCAAAGTCTCCTATTTTGATTGGTATAGCTGTTCTTTCTCATAGTCATAAGAAAACTTTTGTATAGTATCAAGTTATATCAAGGAATCGTTTGTCGAATGTTTGAATGATTGAAGCTCAGTTTAAGGTTTAGATAATTTTTTTCTGGTTAGCCTTTTTTTAGCGAGTCAGTTTTCTACGGGGTGGGGTCGCTAACCCCATGCCCAACCCTCCTCCTTTATTCGGGCTTGGGACCGGTAGTAGCCCCCGGAGGGACTCCAGGCGGGGTTGAAGCTCAGTTTAGAGCCTTATTATTATTATTATTATTATTATTATTAAAATCTTTGTAATATGATCTCATATTCCTGAATTTAAACATTTCTACTCATATTATCACTTATCAATGATTCATTTTGATACGTCTTGCAAATTGAACGCTGTATTCGGTTCCTAAGCTATTCTGTAACCTCCAAGCTAGAACTGTACAGCGACCTGAACAACGAGAGAGAAGATGCAAAGTATGCGAGAAGTAGTTTACTCCAAGGTTCATTTTGTTACAGAAAATATAGGGCTTTTATAATATTTTTAGATGTCCTTGGGTTGCTTGAAGATTCTGGAATGCTACTAAACATAGTAGCAATGTAGCAATCAGCCAACCAGAACCTCTGAATGTGACGTTTTACTTCCTTGATATTTTTGGCTAAAACTTCAAGTGAACGCTGATTGAATGAAACGCTTCTTGGTGTTTCCTGATTCTTGCTTGTCTTTTACAAGCAATTTTCTGGATCACTCCAAGTATAAAATAAATGATTGCCTCGATATTGTCTGAAGTCACAAGCATTATAAGCAGTGATCGATGGTGGCTAGTAGCACAAACCAGGATACGTGTTTTGTATTATTTTTGACTCATCAGCTGAATATACCTGATTTAAACTTCATCCCATTGCACACACTAGTAGCTAATTAGATAATACAATGGCGTTTGAAGTGAACAGTAATCGATTCGAATTCCACCCAAGAGATGTAGGTACATCCAGCTGATGAGCCTCAAATAGGACGAAACATGCATCCTGGATTCCACTGCTAGTCACCATTCATCTTTGCTTATAAATGACATATAGTTATATGTATTAATTATCCATTTAACTAATGTTCATACTGATCATTATAGTAGAAGTACCATTGTCATTATACACAATGAAATATGTATGTTTTCATTTAACTTATTAGATACTACATATAGAAATACGTGATTTTATTAAAAGTTTATGATGAAATACAAATGTAAGAGATTGTAATGGATCAGAAGGAATTGAGCTATTCATTTGAAAAGTTATTTCAATGGATCATATAGATTAATCCTGATTAGCTTTAAATCATATCATAACTTGTTCAAGTGATCTCTTTATTCTCTCATTGTATCCTTCACTGAAATATCATTTGTATCTAATCATTTAGAGTTTAATCTTATTTAAATAGAATGTCATTAAATGATAGATGATGATTGATATTATGAATGGATGAATGTTAGACTACTATTGAAAACCTGGAAGTGTTGGAATGACCGTTTCGTCTTAGTATAGGACTCTTCAGTTGCTGACGAGTTGTTTGAACAGTTTATTCATAGGTTCACAATCAATAATACAAATGATACTTACATTCTTTATAAAGATAGTACACAATAACTAAAAGTTCATGGATAGTTTTATGGAATACAATCTAACTATCCATTTCACAAGTGTAGAAAATATCATATTGTTTTCTTAACTAAATATTTCTTGTAAAATAGACATTTCTAAGTAATTAATGTTGGGGATACTTAGTATATTCTTTAGAAAAAGCTCAAAGAGATCCTAAAAACTCTGAGAAACATTTCATCTAATCAGCATTGAATTGAAATGTCTCAGAAACATCTAGAAAGTGAAGAGTCATGTGCCATATTAACTATCTTTCTATTGTGTTCAGTAAGGTTCCAGAACCTTCCAGATGTTGAAGGCCATCTGAAATGTTATGATAAGCCTCAATTTCGTGTGCATAAACTAACCGTAAAGTAAAGTGTTTAGATTGATATCATGAATGGGTGAATGCTATAACAACATTAAAAACCTGGAAGCACTGGATGGCCATTTCTTCCTAGTATGGGATAGTATGAGACAGTCACTCATTGAAGACAATGGTGGATGATCGCGCAATATCGTGGATTGGTTGGAGTAAGACATTGAAACCGTTGGGTAACAACCAGTTCAGTGGTCTAATGATCAAGCGCTCACGCGCGAGACTGATATGTCCTGGGTTCGAATCTCGCGAGGTGGGATTGTGGATGAGCCCTGTTGAGGAATCCCACAATAGGATGAGTTGGCCGTCCACTGCTTCCAGGTATTCCATGGTGGTCTAACATCAATCGATTCATGATCTGAACTGTTCTTTTAATGTTAATCTTTGATCGCAATAAATATTCTTGTCATATATTCAATCGTACATAATTAATGTACAATTTATGAATAGGGAAATATGTATTTTGATTTGTTCAAAGAAAACTGGATTATGTTTATAGAATGAAATGAAATGAACAATTAAGGAAATGAAAATCATGTTCTTTTCCTCTTTTATTAAATATCGACATGTTCACAAGAATATTATACGATTGCATGATGAAATATATTTTAGGAAAAAATTGAATTCTGTTCACTCAATGGAAGGTAGAAGTCCTTGTGTCAATTTTTTTCTTCTAATTAGTTAATTGTCATTTCTCACTGACTGATGACCACATCACATGTTAGCCACTATCCTTCTTTGTATATAATGCTTGTGAATTAAGGCTTTATCGAGGCAATACTCACAATATGCACATATACCAATAAGAGATTGATCAATTGCAATCCTAAACATCAATGAGAAGATTCAAGTAAAACAATACCAATTGAATTAAAAACTTCACCCCATTGCACAAATAAATGGCTATCAGGACTCAATAGCTAAGTGGATAACGTGATGATGTTTCCAGTGAACGGTATTGAGTTCCAGTCCTAGAGTGAACATCAACTCTGAGGTGCAGGTACATTCAGCTAACGAATCACAAATAGAACGAAATGCACGTCAAACTGGATTTCACTGCTAGTCACTATCCATCTTTGCACACATCACAGCTCAGTTAACAGAATTCTCAGTGCATAGATTGCTATAAAAAGCTACTAATAATATTAAAAATATTTTGTTGCTTAGCAAGAAAGCTAACCATTATTTACGAATAATAAATTTAGATCTCACTGACCTAATCATACATCTGTGTAGAGATTCATGCAGACTGTTGTTTAATATTGATATAATGAACTCACTTAAGTTAAATATCCATAGAAAACGAGATGTTTCGTCTTACTATGTGATCCTTCATCGGTACATATCCATGACCCCATCATAGATAATAGAGCTCAAGATCTTCAATCTTACACGGGAGCACTTCATCTCTAAATCACTGATTCGGATTCTAACAGTGTATATATGTAATTCTATTCGAATCGTGATATTATACGATTATCTATCATCTCCAATGGATGACTGTCTGATAGCCAACACTAGATGGTGGTTGGAGGTAGTCAACAGGAAACCCTGGACCCGGGTTCGGCTCGGATAGCTCAGTGGTAACGTCTCTGACTGTGAAGCTGGGTGACACGAGATCGAATCCGCCAGGGAGCACCAGTTCCCTCAAGATTACAGGTACACCTTGCTGACGAGTGCCAAGTAGCACGAAACCCGGGTCCAGGGTTTCCTGTTGACTACCTCCAAACACCATCTAATCTCAATACATAGTGGTCGCAGTGTCGAGTCACCTAGACTGGTGGCCACATTGCAACATGATCGATAGCATTCGATCTGCACTATTAAGGACTAGACAAGCATGAGATTGATCACCACCCAGTGATCAATCAATTGTGATAGCCAACACTTTTGGGTTCCGTCAGTCATGGAATCTTACTAGAATTCAATAATTAACTCTGGAAATTAATCACTAAAGAACTAAAGACAATCAGTCATTAGTACTGATTCAAAAATTTACCATAAAACACGGATATATGCATTATGTCACTTCAGAAATGTAGTCATTGACAGAAACCATTGACAGTAAATTTTAATTATTTCTCTAATTAGATTATACAAATAAATTAATATTTAATTAAGAAGCTTTACATATTAAGGATTAATCAATAGTCATAAGCAACAATACTAAACAAATGTTGAGTACAAAAGATGCTTTATGAATAAACTTTGATGAACACTGATGAGGAGTCTCATACTAGAACGAAACAGTCATTCAGAGCTACTAGATAATCCATGGTAGTCTAGGTTTAAATTACTCGTGAATTCAACTATTTAATCTTGAATTCAAGAGGTATATCCTGGAGTTCTAGTGAGAAGAAGTGACCAGTGGAGTTCAACTGGGTCAGTTGTGAGGTAGTAAATCACCGATGACAATGGTGGATGTGTCACTCAATTTCGTGAATTAGTTGAAGTTAGACATTAACACCGTTAGATGCCGGCCAGTTCAGTGGTCTAGTTGATCAAGCGCCTCTCGCGAGACTGTTTTGTCCTCAGTTCGGATCCTGCGAGGCGGGGTCGTGTTTGCGCACTGCGGAGGACGAAACGTCCGTCCAGTGCTTTCAGGTTTTCCATGGTGGTCTAGCTCCAATAGACTCATGATCTCAACTGCTGAAATTGTTGATATTACCTTACTTTATTAATGGTTACAGGATTCAGATCATTTCATAGGCTTAGTAATCATTGATCAAATATTTGATCGGATCTGTTGATTACATAATTGTTTCTCTTAGTTTATGTATGTTTAGATTTATTCTGTTTCTTCATTTTATGATTTGATTAAAAATGTAAACTTATATAAGTTACCATTGTACAATGGTTAATTTAACAGTAAAAACTTTAATAGTTGAATTAATGAGTGAATTTAATCTAGACCACTATTGAAAGGCTGGAAGAACTGGACAGCCGTTTCGTCCTAGGATGGGACTCCTCAGAAATGAGAAGCCGTGACCAGTGGAGTTCAACCAGGTCTGTTGTGAGATAGTAACTCACTGAACACAATGATGGACGGTCGCGCAATATCGTGGATTGGTTGAAGATAGACATTCACACTGTTGGATGCCGTCTCAATGGTCTAGATGTTCAGTGTTCGTGCGCAAGGCCGATAGGTCATGGGTTCGAATCTTTTGGGACGAGACTATGGATGTGCACTGTTGGAGAGTCGCACACTAGGATGAAACGTCCCGTCCAGTGCTTCTGGGTTTTCTGTGGTGATCTAGCTTTAATTGACTCATGAATTCAACTATTAAATTACTAAAACTATTCACGAAACCCCGTTCTGATACTAAACAGTTTCCCAATAATCTTAAATTTATGTGATATAATTTTAAACAATTTAATTACCTTAAACTTGGCTATTCATTTATACCAATTAGTTTTGATATATAGTAATTGAAGCATCTGATGAGAACTTATTAAAGAATAACATTCTTTGTTCATTTATATGTGTCGTGGTATTTTGTTTTAATAATAACCTAAAATGATTGGGATCCTGTACCTAGTGAGAACCTTCATAAAACTATGAGTCAGTCAGTCAGCCACAACGGAAGACCAGGCACATATATGCATCAGTCCAAGTTGCTAAATCTTGATCATTAGCACAACATAACGAACACCGAATTCATAGAAGTAGTTCATTCAATGATATTAATGTATAAAGGAAAGATTGTGTATATGGATATAATACAGGAAGAAAAAATTAATAGAAAGAAAGATATGAAGCAAATTTAATCTCTTAGTTTAAGGGAAGACAAAGTGTGTAAACACCGATGTCATTGTGACCGATTCTCAGCCATGTCACACACAGTCTCCAACCATTGGTTACGATAGTCACGCGGACCCCAACCAAATAATCTGTATCTACCAACATTGCTGAAACCAGAAGTCAATGACTTTATGGACTGATAAAACGTTTTGGTTTTGCCGCCCCTAACTTTCTTCCACGAGTGTCCAACGCTAGTCAGCATTGCACATCGTGGTACTTGGTGTTCGGGCATACACAATATGTGGCCCAACCATCTTAATTGACGAAGATTCACAGCCTCATCAACTGATTACTATCATTCCCTAATACCTTTCGTCTAACCTCATTATTACTTACTCGGTGATCCCAGCAGATGCAAGCAAAACTGTGAACACTTCATATTAATAAAAAACAAGTCTACAAAATACTTGAAATCCTATCTATTGACATTTTAATATATTGGCTTGATGTGGAATATAATTACACTGTGAAGCATGTTACTTTATCTTGTTGATTTACAGTGGTTATTTGCATAATACATGAAAATGGCAATTCAATGAATGGGATTCTAATATCGGTAAGTTGTTGTTTTGTTTTATTTAAATGTCTTAAACCTAATTGAAATTTCATATGTTATCACTGAATTGATTAATACACTGATTACCAACAAATAAGAAATTCATAACTTTTTTGATTGAGATCATGAATCGAATGATGATAGACCACTATTGAAAACTTGGAAGCACTGGATGGCCAACTCGTCCTATTGTGGGACTTCTTAACAGTGCGGATTCACGATCCCTCTCTCGGGATTTGAACCCTGGGTCTTTAGTCTCGCGCGCGAATGCTTAATATTTAAACTACTGAAACAGCATTCATCGGTGTTAATATCTAACCTTAATGAATCCACGAAATTGCGCGACCATTTTCCATTATACTGAGGTAGATACCTGTCTTTACCGAACACAGATTGTTGTTTAAATATATGTAAAACATTTTCACAGTCGGACAATTGAAAACACAATTACCAGTATGAAGGTTGTGGTGATTGTTGAATTTTATTGAGATTATGAATTTATCTAACTTGGACAATTATTAAAAGTCTGAAAGTACTGGACAATGATTTTGTCTTAATATGAAACATTACAGCATTGCTCATCAACAACCCTATCACTTAGATCAGCCTCAATAAATGTTAGTTTTATGAACTTTAAGCTGATTTATTTGGTTGAACAAAGAAACGCAAAGGAATTCAATGAATTTCTAGAAATCTAACACCCTAATCAAGCATCAATCAATATAAACATCAAAATCAAATAAGCTTATAATGTAATAGGAATAATGATCTATTATTGTAAGGTCAAATCAGTTGAGATCAACTTTACAGTTATGAATAACAACCAACCATATTCTAGATGAATAGAACAAGCAACTATGAATTGTATCAAAGTGTTAATAGCTCATTTCTCTTTGAAATGCTTCCTGATAACACTGTTCAGAACGACAATGAAAATGTTACCCTTTAACTTATAAACCATACTTACTTACTTACTTACTTACGCCTGTTACTTCTAATGAAGCATAGGCCGTCGACCAGCATCCTACAACCCACTCTGTCCTTGGCCTTCCTTTCTAGTTCCATCCAATTCTTGTTCATTTTACTCATGTCTATCTCCATTTCCCGGAGTAATGTGTTCTCTGGTCTTCCTCTCCTTTTTTGGCCTTGAGAATTCCATGTAAAGGCTTGCCTTGTGATGACGCAGCTGGGTGCTTTTCTCATTGTGTATCCTATCCCATTCTTCCTGATTTCTTCTTCTTCCTCCTCTAAAAATCTCATTCTGAACGATAAATTTTCCGTATAATCTTAGAATTACATTGGACAACATAATCAATTCATTGATAAACTACCATGAACCGTAGTTTTCCTCACTTCTTATTTTGTTTATAAGTTTATAAGTAATAAAACACAATATCAACTTACTTGATATTGTTTGCTTGAATCTTACCATTGACATTTAAGACTGTAGTTGATCAATTTCTTTTTGGTATATTTGCATACTATGAGTATTGCTTTAATATTGACTTAATTCAAAAGCATTCTAAGCAAAGATGAATAGTGGCTAGCAGTGGAATTCAGTTTAACACGCGTTTCGTCTTATTTGTAACTCATCAGCTGAATGTACCTGATTTAAACTTCATCACATTGCACAAGCTAATAGCTATCAGGATTCAGTAGCTAAGTGGATAAAGCGAATGTTACTTGATTCGAGTCTCAGAGTGAACATCAACTCTGAGATTCAGGTACATCTATCTAATGAGTCTCAAATAGGACGAAATACTAATTTAAATTCCACTGCTAGTCACTATCCATCTTTACGTAACAATCTAATTACAAAAGATGATAACTATATATAAAAACATGATTATGTAATTTTATTGAAAGGATATGACATTGTAAACAATCCAAATATTTTCAACAGTTAAGATCATGAGTCAATTGAAGCTAGACCACCATGGAAAACCTGGAAGCACTGGACAGACGTTTCGTCCTATTGTTGGACTCCTCAGCAGTGGGCAAACACGACCCCGTCTCGCGGAATTCTAACCGAGGACATACCAGTCTCGCGCGAAGCGCTTATCCAACTAGACCACTGAATTGGCCAGCATCTAACAGTGTTAATGTCTAACTTCAACTAATTCACGAAATTGGTGACACATCCACCATTGTCATCAGTGAGTTATAACCTCACAAGTGACCCGGTTGAACTCCACTTGTCACTGCTTCTCACTAGAACTCCAGGAAATACCTCTTGAATCCAGTCACTAGTGAGCATATGTTGTTTAGTATCAAAAGGGGTTGAAATTACTACAATCTCCACCAAACCCTTTTTGATACTAATCCAAATATTGTTGACGTAACAATTTATCAATAAACTTCTCTTCATTGTCTAATTTCTTTTTGAAATTATCGTTGATGCATCAATAATTTATAATCCTTACGTAATTTATAACTTTAATTGAAGGAGAATCTTTATTTAAGTAGTATATGTATTGTTATTTAAATTCTGTTCTAAATAGTCTGCGCAAAAATTTTATTGATTGTTCTGCTTAAAAGATTTGCCTTGACATTATACCTAGTTTAGATTAGATGATAATAGAAAGAGGACATTAGTTTTCTATCATGTGCTTACTAGTGACTGATTTCAAGATGAATTTCTTGGAGTTCTAGTGAGAAGCCGTAATCCGTAGAGTTCAATCGTGTCTGTTGTAGAGGCAGTTAATCAATGTAGACAGTAGTGGATAGTCACACAATATCGTGGATTGGTTGAAAGTAGACATTAACACCTCTGTGTGCTGGCTCATTGGTCTAGAGAATAAGGGTTTGCTTGCAAAACCGAAGGCCTTGGGTTTGAATGGTGTGTGCGAAATCGTGTGTGAGTTCCATACTAAGACGAGATGGGCATCCAGTGATTTCAGGTTTTCAATGGTGGTCTAACATTCATTTATTTATGATATCAATCTAAACTCAACAATCTCCACAGCCCTATACTGATATTATTAAAAAATATGACTTTCCTAGACTGATATCAAAGACGTTACCGTAATAAAAGTTCTGAGTGATGAAATTAGGTAGAAACCATACATTTACACCATAATATAGTGTCATTGGCTAAAGAGGAGATTAGGAAGAGACGTTGGAAGTGGATAGGACATACATTATGGGAATGATCAAACTGCATCACGAAGCAAGAAGTAACGTGGGATCCTGAAAGGTAACGGAAAAGAGGAAAACCAAAGAACACACTGCTTTGTGAATTGCAAGCAGACATGAAAAGGATGAATAGCAATTGGAAACAACTGGGAAGGATCTCTTGGGACAGAATTGGATAGAGAATGCTAGTGGGAGGTTCATGTTCTTTCATGAGGGATAACAGGAGTGTGTACAGTATCATTGAGAAAATCTGAAAAGAAACATCACTTTAAATTCAATTAAAGCTAAATTAAAGCTAAACTAGAATGGAAAACCTGAAAGCACTCAACTGTTATTTCATCCTAGTATGGGTTTGAATCTCGTGAGCGAGATCTTGGATACACACTGCTTAAAGAGTCCCATACTAGAATAAAACAAACATTTATTACTTTCAGGTTTTTCATAGTGATCTAACTTTAATCGTATCATCATTTTATGAAAATCACTTATCTTATTTCTTGATCGTTACGTAATCTAATTTCTTATTGAACATATTTTGTTTTTTCAACGGTTAAGATCATTAGTCAGTTGAAGCTAGACCACCATGGAAAACCTGGAAGCACTGGACGGCCATTTCTTCTTATTGTGGGACTCCTCCGTTGGATGCCGGCTCAGTGGTCTAGTGGTTAAGTGCTCGCGCGCAAAACCAGTAGGTCCTGGGTTCGAATCTTCCAGGGGGCGAGGTCGTGGATGCGCACTACTGAGGAGTCCCATACTAGGACGAAACGGCCGTCCAGTGCTTCCAGGTTTTCTATGATGGTCTAGCTTTAACTGACTCATGATCTTACCCGTCGAAATTACTATAATATCCACAAAACCTATCTGATATTTTGTTTTTCTCATATTATTACATAATATCTAGTTTATTGTTAAAACATTTTTGGACAGTGATAGAAAATCATTGGAAATGTTTACTGTTAAGGTAAGCAATACCATGAGCATAAAAACTAGTTTTTTTTCTTTTAATGAGCAATGTTGTACATGGTGAGACCTATAGTTTATGGACGACCTTTGAGAGATGCATAAAAGATCTTGAGAATGTCCGTATACATACTACGGCTAAATGATAATTAGAAACCAGGGGAAAGAATTACCATTAATATTTACAGTTGATAGTTAGGATAAAGATTTAGATTTAAGGTTATCATCACGAACTGATATCAGCTATACTGCTAAAACTCCAATAAACCAAAATGTGTGAATTAAGTTGGCGCCAAAATTCAAGACCTGATATCGCAAATCTGATTGGTCCATCCATAAATTATAGTCTCGCCTGTATGTATATATATATGTTCATATTTCTGGCTCACTATAGTCAAGAGAATAGAAATATCATTAACCAAATATAAGACTTACTTACTTACTTACACCTGTTACTCCCAACGGATTATAGGCCGCCGATCAGCATTCTACAACCCACTCTGTCCTCGGCCTTCTTTTCTAGTTCCATCCAATTTTTGTTCATTTTTCTCATGTCTGTCTCCATTTCTCAAAGTAATGTATTTTTTGGTCTTCCCCTTGTCTTTTGGCCTTGACGATTACAAGTGAGAGCTTGCCTTGTGACTCAGCTGGTTTCTTTCCTCAATGTGTGTCCTATCCACTTCCAGCACTTCTTCTTGATTTCTTCCTCCGCTGGGATATGGTTTGTTCTCTCCTACAATAGGTTGTTGCTGATAGTGTCTAGGTAAACGAATCCGAAGTATTTTGCGTAGACAGTTGTTAATAAACACTTGTATCTTCTGAATGATGGCTTTCGTAGTTCTTGAGGTTTCCTCTCCATATAGTAGAACTGTCTTGACATTTGTATTGAAAATTCTGAATTTGATGTTAATTGACAGAGATATAAAAGGTATTAATGATTAAACTAGTAGATGATCGCTTAGCAAATATAGTAACTTGAAACATTTGCTCACAAGTGATTGCTTAACCTTAATGTAAATACTGGATATTATATTGGATATTTGTAACTTGTGAAGATCAAACATATGGCTATTGAAATGGATTTTATTGGCCCTATATCTGACTCCAATTAGATTGGATAAATGATTGTTATTGAAATATACATGTCACCAACCCTTGTATATAATCATCGACTTAAATCGCGTTAGTGTATAATGAAATTCAATAAGTCAAATACAAGAATGAATTACGAATACGTGTATTTCATACAATCGTTGATCCAGACAAACGGTCGAAGATACAAAGCGAAGTGAAAAGAGAGTCAAGTGAAAAGACGTGCAGTGGAGAAGGCTTATGGGCCAACTCGATTTAACCAAGCCCTAATCAGCATTTATAGTCAGATAGAAATAAGCTACAGATATGTGATGAGTACGATAAGATGTGCACATACATACACTGGTGGTTGGAGGTAATCAGCAGGAAACCCTGACCACGTGATTCGTACTACTTGGCACTCATCAGTAAGGTGTACCTGTAATCGTGACGGAACTAGTGCTCCCAACCTAGTGCACGCAATGTCGAGTCACCTAGACTATTGGCCACAATTGCAACTTAGTCGATAGCATTTGATCTATACTAAGAAGGACTCGATACACATGACATTGATCATCACTCAGTGATCAATCATTTGTGACATACATACGCTCACATAAAAACAGTGAAGGCTGATAAGCGATTAATTAACAAGGTCAAGATGTAGCTTGAGAAGAATTGATAAATTGGTTTGCCGAGAAGCTAGAACAAGTTATGCTGGCTTAACATAGTAATCAACACTACAAATGTTCAAAAGCAGATACCTAAATATATGTTAAACCCCTGACTAGAAGAAAATTCAAACCCTCACATTATCGGTTATACAGCTTTCAAACACATAGATCATTTGCTGAAACATCTTTTACTGTGTTTTACTATACATCGATAACAGTGAAGTTATGATCAATGATGATGTATTTAATTTTTGTGTTTCCCTTCAGGATTCCAAGTTAGGGCTTGCCTCGTGATGCAGTTTGATGATTTCCATAATGTGTACTTTGTCCAATTCCAACGTCTTTTCTTAATTTCCTCCTCAGCTCGAAGCTGATTTGTCCTCTCCCACAAAAGGCTGTTGCTGATGGTATCCGGCCAATGGATGTTGAGTATCTTGCGTAGACAACTATTTATAAATACTTGTACCTTCTTGATGATGGTTGTAGTAGTTGTTATGCAAGTTTCAGCTCCGTCTTGACGTTGGTATTGAAGGTTGTGGCTTTTATGTTGGTTGACAGTTGTTTTTAGTTTCATATTTCCTTCAACTGTACGAATGTGATCTTTGTTTTGCCTTGTTCATCCATGATGCTTCCCAAGTACGTGAAATATTCCACATCTTTCGGGGTTTCGCTATCAACTGTTATTGGGTTGGTGTTCTCCGTGTTGTATTTGCGGATCTTGATTTTTCCTTTATGTATACTGAGGCCTAATGATCCGGAGGTTGCTGTTATACTAGTTGTCTTCATCTGCATTTGTTCGTGTACGGGATAGAAGTGCCAACATAAATAAGTAGTTTAGAAATATTTGTTCAACTTGTAATTAAGAAGTCAATACACGTCTGGGAAATCTTGAAATCCTGCGATCGAATTCCTCAGGGAGGTAATTATCAATCAGTTCTGAGACGTTTCAAACTTGAATGATACACTTGTTGATTACCATTTAGAACTCTTAATCTATATCCACTGAGATTAATCTAAAAACATTGAAACAAAGGTCAATTATAATGTAATGTGATCCATAAAAGATGATACCGAATGTTATTACCTTAATTTATTTTTGATTTTGATTTTAGTTAAAGACACTCAATGAAGTAATCAAGAAGTATGCGATGAAATCATCAATGGAACTTCAATATAACTTACAAAATAATTATTCCATTCCTTTAGAAGGTAAGTATTAAGACAGAATATATATACGTTTGTTACTCCTCATGGAGGAGCATAGGCCACCCACCAACATTCTCTATTTAACCCTGTCCCAAGCAATCCTTTTCACCTCCAATTGATGTTACATACTACTTATATCGATATATATAAATGGCATACACCATAAATTATACTTTCTATCCCAACAAATGTTGGTTTCAAGATCATTGTAATATTGTAGGACTGCTCAGAAGTGCGCATTCTAGATCTCTTTCCTGGAGGAGTCCCACAATAGGACGAAACGATCGTCAAATGTTTCCAGTTTTTCAGCCGTGGTCTTACATCAACCGGTTCATGATTTTAATCAAAAAACTTAATAATCTCCACAACCCTTTACTGGTAATTGTAATAATTTTTATTATGGATTGACTTCAACTTGAAAATCATTCAAAATAAAAAGCATCTAGGTCTTTCCGGTAGGATCAGTAATCAATACTCATAACCATAACCATGTGAGACTTTCTTTTTTTTAAAAAAAACACAAAACTTTTAAGTTGCTTGACAATTACGCTACATTTAAACAACCGAGTTCGAATTCAATAGTTTAGGTTTTAAACTTCGATTAGTTCATGGAATAGTGTAAGTACCATACATTATCATTAATTATCTCATTTCTAACTGTAAAACATTCGTTTCATTCAAATGAACAGCGAGACTATAACATATGGACGAACCAATCAGGTATAAGATAACATATCTAGGATTTTGGTGCGAAGTTCACTCATCCATTTGGGTAAATAGAGTTTTGGCATTATAGCTGAAGTCAGTTTGTGATGAAAAACCCTAAATCTAATACCTAACCTTAACTATCGACTGTAACTCATAATTCAAAGTCTTCACACAGATTTATAATCCTCATTTGGTTCTAGGCTTCAGGTGGACACTCTGAAGGTCAGTCTAACGTCGTTCAAAAGTCGTCCATAAATTATAGTCCCACCCAATGAATATTTTTCATACAATCTATTATACATGTCATTTATAGAAGTAAAAATGCCTTTTCTAGTATACATCATGTAAACCTCATGTGCGAAAGTCTTGAAACTTTAGTTGATTTATTGATTATCATTGATAGTGTTATATCCCTATATGAATAATGAATGGTAACTGTTGGGATCCATTTATGGACCAATACTAGGCATATATTTTTGTCGTATAATTGTTAATTAACTAAACTGTTCATATTCGTTTTCCGCTCATTATACGCTTTATTTTCACCTATCAACCATTATTATACGAATTACCCTTCTTGAATTATGCCCTGTCTATTAATTACAGTCTCCCACATTCACAGTCACTTTTGGCTAATTGTTGTACAAATATTATTTCCTATTTTATTGGTACGATGTGGTCTATCTGGTTGGTATATAAACCCAGTATGTTTGAAATACATGATTCATATCACAGAGGCTGAGATTGGTGTTCTGAAGTTGACTGGCTGGGCTAGGCGGAAAGCAGGACCACTCAGGACTCTAGGCTGCTCGCACGTGTTTTATGCGTCACTGATTCGATCGATTGTTCGTTGCTCTCTGATTGGCGATATTGTTGCGTTATACAATAAACAGGGCACACAGGTTCACAAGTTAAAACAGATATTTCAAATGATATGTTATAGTTATGGTATAGATGCTGCTATTACAGTGAATCATAAAACATCTCACGAATTTCTCCTTAAAAAACTAATACATATTCATTTTAATGGTTGAATTCATGATTCAATTAAAGCTAGACCACCATGAAAAATCTAGAACCACTGGACGCCCATTTTGTTCTAATATGAGACTTCTCAGCAGTGCTCATTTAAAAGGTATTTCCTGGAGTTCTAGTGAGAAGACGTAATCAGTGGAGTTCAACCGGGTCTGTTGTGAGAGAGTAAATTACTAAAGATAATTATAGACAGTACTGCAATTTCGTGGATTGGTTGAAATTAAACATTAACACCGTCGGATGCTGGTTCGGTAAACTGGAGGTTAAGTGTTCGCGCGCGAGACCGAAGGTTCTGGGTTCGAATCCCGCGACTGAGCTCGTAGATGCGCATTATTGAGGAGTCCTTTACTAGAACGAAACAGTCGTCCAGTGTTTCCAGGTTTACAACGGTGGTCTAGCTTTAATTGACTCATGAGTTCAACTATTAAATTACTATAATATACACAAAACCCCTTCCTGACTATACATATTCAATAGAATCCTTGTTTACATTATCACAAACTTCCCATGATTAGATCTTTTTATTAGTTCTAGGATTTCGGTAAGGAATTTCTACTCGAATAATTCAATCCTCAATAAACATTATTTTTTTCATTTACTTGCTATACATAGTAAGTATTCATAATGAACGAGAACACACTTGAAGACAATCGAATGTATTCCACTACAAAATGACATAATATCTCGGTAAAATTTGAGAATCATACAGTAAATACTTCATTTGCAAAATATCAATCAATCGTCTTAGACTTCATTGTTTCTTCGTTTCTACATCAATCAATCTCTGTATTCTTTCTCTTTCGTTCGATCTTCTTAACTTTCTACCACCAGATATTTCACTCTCGACTGGTGATTCATACTACTTATATCTGTGGACATCAGTAGTACACACCACATGTATATATATATATAATACGCTTAACTTTCGTAAGTAATAGACATGCAGAAAACATAATTTTAAAGATATCAGTCTTATTCTTTTCAATGTTTATCTTTCCTTAAGGTTATTTGTAGTTATTTATCATTTCTGGTAGCTTAAGAAAATGTTCAGTATTGTTTTTATCAATAAAAAGGGAAAATGTTTTTTTGTGGAGTGGGGGGGGCGCTGGGGGAATCTAATGAAGTCTGACATGATTGATTAACATTTTGCAAATGAAGTATTGTACTGTATCATTCTCAGATTTTACTAAGATGTTACGTAATCGACGTGTTCAATAACATTCGATTATCCCCATTTATGTTCTCGTTCACTGTAACAATACCAGGCCAAAATGACAAACTGATTAATAAGATAGTGAATTTTCATTGTTCATATTTTCATGTTCAACTTCTTCTTATTGTCTCTAAAATATATATGTAATCATGTTACAAAATAAACATCCTATGGTATAACTTTGGTGTATACTACTGATGTCAACAAATATAAGTAGTATGTATCATCAATCGAAAGTGAAATATCTAACAACAGATGGTTAAGAAGTTCGATGAAAATTGAATGATTAGTGTGAAAATGAATGAACAATGAAGTTTGAGACAATTCATTAAGTGTAACAATTAGAAACTAAGATTAATAGTCTCTAATAGTGGAATCCAGGACGTGCATTTCGTCTTATTTAGGTCTCATCAACTAGATGTAACTGCGTCACAGAGTTGATGTTTACTTCGAGACTCTAACCCAATAACATTTGCTTAAAATGTCATTGCTTCATCCGCTTAGCTACTGAGTCTTGATAACCACTTGATTGTACAATGGGATGAAGTTTTAAATTCACTTAATATTGTTTGAGTCAAACGGTATTAGGTTCGAGTCCTAAGGTGAACATCAACTCTGAGATTTAGGTACATCCAGTTGACGAGTCTCAAATATGACGTAACGCGCGTCGTGGATTCCACTGTTAGCCACTATCCATCTATGCTTATAATGCATGTAACTTCAGTCAATATCGAATTAATCCATACAGGATGTATATATGATCTACACGAATAACATGTTTATAACTAAATATCAATGGTGTTATTGTTTGTTTGTTTTCTTTTCATATTATTCTTTTATATTCATATTCACTCATGTATACATTACTGGCTTTCTCCTTTTCTTATTAACATAACCACTTCTTAATGAGATCCACTTCATCATCATCATCCTTTCTTCTTCTTCCTCTCCTTCTTCTTTTTCTTCTCCTTCCTCTTCTTCTCCTTCCTCTTCTTCTTCTTTTTCTTCTTCTCCTTCCTCTTCTTCTTCTTCTTTTTCTTCTCCTCCCTCATCTTCTTCCTCTTCCTGTTTACTTTACATCCGATGTAATTAGATATTTTACAGGAATCTTCTTTGTTAAAAGCTAAAAAGAAAAAAACGGGTTTAACAAGAACATTATTCATTATTCATTATTGTCTGTGTTGTTGTTGTTGTTATTGCTGCTTCTGTGGACATAATCGTGAATGTAAGTAGTAAAAGATGATAATTCATAAGAGAATACTGTTTTGTTATCATCATCATCATCATTGTTACTATTAACATAACATCACTGTTGACTAATTAACAAGGAGCATATTGGATAGGTTATTAGACTTTGAGAAAATTGATTTACATAGTAATTTATTAGCAGATCATGTTTGTTTATTTTAATTAATTAACTGATTACGTATGGGAATTTGTGGATCAATCTAAGCTAGACCACGATAGAAAACTTGGAAATCTTGGATAGCTGTTTTGTCATATTATGAGATTCCTCAACAGTGAGCATCCAAGATCCTACAAGTGGGATTCGATCCCATGATCTTGCATGATAACGCTTAATCTCTAGATCACTGAGTCAAAATTCAGTGGTGTTAATGTCTAACTCCAATTGATCCGTGATCTTGTGCAATCTTTCATCCATTGTCTCAGATGGATAACTGTCTCACACTCAACACGGATTAGACACCATTGAACACGGCTTCTCACCAGAACTCCAAGCGATCCATCTTGAAGTTAGTCACTAGTGAATACATGATGATTACTAGAATGGGATGGATGAGCACTATTCAGGAGTCTCATACTAGGATGAAAGGATCATCCAGCTTAAATTGACTCGTGAATTCAATTGTAACTAAATTAATCCTAAAAGAAGTGACAAATCTGAGTCAAAGTGTTTCTTCAAAAATCTATATCATTTGTAGATGACATTTGTTATAGATTAACATAAGCTAGCAATTGCACTAAGAACAAAGGTGATCTAGACAACAGTTTCATCCTAATATGATGATAGATAGTCATTAATTCA